TATCCGTAATTAGGGCTAACTAGATTGAMACTAAGGCTGCCCAGCCCTGCGTCCAGCAGTAAAACAAAACAAAATAAAAATTTATTTAAGTTCATAGATAATTTCGACAATTAACAATAGCATCAATACATATAAGTTCTAATCGCCCATGGAATGTAGTARAGTGGTATATCAGCAAGGTTCTTTGAAATTAAGAAACATGATACTTCTACTGAACAAGGTATGCAAATCATCATTCAAGCACAGAGATTGACACCATCCCAAATTACGATAAACCTTTTCATGAGTCTCACCAAGCTCATGCCTTGATGTTATCTTCCTTGATCACCAGCAAGTCTATCCTGAACTAACTGAGGCAATGAACAATGCCTAGTCAACTTCTAAAACTACCTCAACAATGCTAAAGATGCATTTCAGGATCAAGCTCTCTTTGTCCTCAAAGTCCAGGCAGATATCATTGATCACATCAAGAAGTGTGCAATCAACACCGCTGACAAATCCCGTATGAACGATATGGCAAATATTGCCATCCTTATCCTTGCTTTTGCTGTACAGCCAGTGTATTGAACCCCACCTCACAGATTCAACACATACACTTGGACCTACAAGCATCCTGAACCTGCACCAAAACCAGTTTCAATACACCAACAAGTTCAAATCAGMAAAGTTGATGACAGTTTCCTTGACCTGGCCTACTCAATGTCAATAAATCAAATCAAAGCCAACCCAGCATTGTTCAACAAACCATGCCTTGTCTGGGTTGAAACACACATTTGAACACTGTCCTATCCCTTAACAATCTAACCTCCTCAATCAAAATTTCATCAACTTCTGTCAAATGTACAAACAGGCACAAAATTTGTTGGCCAAAGCAAATGCATCTATCAACCTTGTACACACAGAAACATGGATAGAAGACACACAAATGATAATTGAAGACCATCCATCCCCCCCTTCACCTGACCAAGGTGAAAACAAGGCAGATTTTGTCTAGGGCGGACAATAAAATCAGAAAATACATGCCATTCTACCCTGTCATCCATATGCTCAATGCCATACAAATCATACATATTCAATTCATACCATCCCATGATACAACATGTGATACGTCACACCACCAACCCTTAACTACTGTCAAAATACCAACATACCCGCATCATTCATTCACACCAAAGACCAAAAAAGGTCAAGAACCTTACGAACATATTCACACTTCACCTATAAATGTCATTGATATATATTTGACTGACACTGCGTTGCATACCTTACTGCCGCCAACAGTATACACTTCCAATATCTCTTCGACAGTCAGAGCACAAATTGACACTGATGCTGATATTACATGTACAAACCTAATCAATGTCATCCACAATTACAAACCATACACCAAAGAMTTTCCATGCCAACTGAAACTTGTCAGAGCAATCAACTCTACAGAAGGTATATACCCCCATGGCGAAGGATACCTCCATGTCACAGCAATCAATGACAATGGCTATACTTGTGTTTGTTGTACAAACTACTATGAACAACTATTTCAATTAATTCCTCAGCCAAAACAAAACCATGGTCGCACTTCCATCAAAACTCCTCAGAGGGAAGTGCCGCCCCTCGGAGCAGCTAGAAGCATACTTTCCAACAAAAGTTATGGTTCTYGCCACCCAAGTGCCTCTTCTAGTTCATGAGGTAAAATATAATATTAAGATTTTTTTACTTGTGTTTGTTGTATCTATTCCCCAACTTTATCCTCTACCTTGATATCTGAAGATGACGTTATATGTTCWAATGCAAAATTGAAACTTTTAGACTATACAATCGCAATCTACAAAGTCCATGACTTGAACACAATCACAATTAAATGCCAACACAACAAAGATGATGCCAAAACAATTATCGTACATGATGTGATCTCCTTTGGTAAATCATACACTCAACCCCTCATCATACCCAATCTCTTGCCACATCATCCCAGAGCAACCAAATTTCATTCCATAGAGAATGCCCTCAGCAAAGACAAACAATTTGCGAAGAAATGTCTCACTTCCACCATCAACAAGATACATGTTTATTAAAAATGCGCCCATGACCACATTGAACACAAAATGCATCAATTACCATCAGATATTCCAAATCATCCTCTAAATGACTGGGTATTTGATGCTACTCCTGTCAATGTTATCAAAGCACAAACACAACAGCTTCTGTGACATCAATATCTTGGACACCTCAACAATGACTACTTATACAACGCTCACAAATTTATTGATGATATCCCAAAATTCAAGCACAATGATCCAATACTCGATCAGTCCTACCTGCATTCAGTCCAAACAAAACTCAATGCACTCTGCTACAGTCCTTTATCAAGGTCTTTGTTTGATTGATTTCTCCTTTAGCGGTACAAAATCGAAAGATGCTTCACGCACACAAGATTATGAAGGAAAAAACGGTGAAACAAGTTGGATTCTTATCTCCAACCACTTCACTTGCTGCTTAACCATGACTGTCAAAGGCATCTCCTATCACCTGGCTTCAGAAATTCTTAGATATAAACACACCAAATTACTCTAACGAATACGTAGACATGGATCAAGATGGTGAACTATATCATAACCCAGAAGTACAAAAATTGTTCACACAGAAAGGATATCAAATACAACCAACAGGTGCTGAATCCTCTCATCRAAATGAACCCATTGAACAGGCACATCAAACAGTTGCTGACAGAATACACTGTCTTCTTTCTGGTGCTGACTTTTGGCCATACACTTTTCATCACTCTCTTCAAATACTGAATGCTCTCCCCCAACGTACACAAGCACAATCACCCCTACAACTTGCTACAGGAAAGAAAACTTCAAAACCTTTGGATGTCACGTCTGGGTACGTCCACCTGGTAGACGACCTGCCAAGTTTAAAAATAATTCTTGAAAAGGAATCTTTCTTGGATATCTACCACAAACTACAAAGAACATTCTTTGGTACAATATCAAAACAGATTGTGTCAAAATCRAATCAATTCCATGACCTAGAGATGTGTGGCAAACCAACACCGCAACCTAAAAAAATTGGCAATATCCAGTCTGCAAAACTGGTGAACGCCGATGTCATAACTGCTGTGATGGATCRAAACCATCCACCCCATTGYTCCATGCAATTGCCTCTACCTACTCATCTTGTGTCAAACAGCCAGTACAGCGCTTATTGTTTGCTCTCACCACTATCCTAAACTACAAACTTTATTCTGTAGATGCTAAAGATGCTTACACACATTCACCACCTCCCAAAGTACCTACGTTTGTTGCTATCAATGGACAATATGCAGACTGGTATAAATGGAAATTTGGTGAACAACTTGATCAAACACATGTACTCCCTGTGCAACATGCTCTGCAAGGTCCCACAGAATCTGGATGACTTTAGGAAGAACATATCAACAAAATTCTTTTCTCTGAGGAACTAAAGTTCACGACAACAACCCACGACAAATATATTTATCAAACTATCTGCAAGGATACTAWAATACTTATGCTACATCAAGTTGATGACTTCCTCAYATCATCACCAACTGCTACCYGAGCAAATGAAATCTACGACATTATTGGCAAGAAACTCCAGCTTCCAAAAGAACAGAATACCCCATTCAAGAATTTGGGGCTTGCCACATCACCATATAACGGTGTAGATATCAAACAAACAAAAAACTACATTGAAATTTCTTGTGAAGATTACAATGATTGCGTTGCAACTCAAAGGCAAATTACTTAGCCATCCATTTGCCCCTCTACCTGAGAAAGCATTGGACAAAATCTTCAGTGAAGATGGTCCACCTGAAGGATCACCTGAACACAAGAAACTCAAAGAACAACATGGATTTCCCTATTGTACACTCCCTGGTGAAATCTTCTAGGCATACAATRTATGTCGCCCTGGCATTGGCTTAGAAGTATCCACTACTATGTCAAAATTCTCTCTGACTCCATCAGATTTACACTTTAATTACCTTAAAGGTGAAGCTCTTTACCTTTGACAAACCAAAACATGGGGTCTACGATATCGCAAGACTTAAATCTTACAAGATAATGAACTCCCAGATGGAAACTTTGATGATTCTCCAATCCCACTACCGGATAACCTTCCACTATTCTTCCCATCACTGCCTACTGATGCCACCATAACTTGCCTTGTCGACGCTGCATACGCAAACATAAAACCGAAATGGAAATCAACTACAGGCTTTGCAATTGTGTTAGCAAACACTGCCATTGAATACAAACCAAAAACTCAATCACAAATGGCACAGAGCTCCACCAAATCAGAATTCTATGCTGCTGTTTCCGCCGCAAAAATTGTGCTGTATCTCAGGTCTATTCTTGCTGACCTGGGCTTTCCCCAGAAGAATCCAACAACGTTATATGAAGACAATGACTCTACAATCAAAATTGTACACCCTACTTTGCAATACAAGATTGGAAAAGAGACTTATACATCAAGATGCAGTTTATCAGCGGTCAAATCAACTCTGCAGATGCCCTTAACAAACCTCTTGGTTGGGTCCTTCACAATCGACATGCACGCCAACTCTTTGGCTACTTTACCATTGCTCCATCAAACTGATATCCTCCTTCCTCATAATTTTTTGCTCTCATCTGCTTGGTTTACACATCACTTATCACAGGAGGGTGCTGTCTGTAGGTTATCAGATTGTGGGTATGATTCATATATACAACACATGCATATGGCACCTATCTATGACTCATAACTCATACACCACATCATGAATATATGACTCACTTGATCCTATGGATCCATATGATTGACATGACTCAGTTCCTTCACTTGCGTGAGTGACTTGACACATTTGATTCACACATCACTCGATCTTCATTTTGATTGGTCTTAGATTTCATAGTTTGTCGATCCTCGATAAGAGCATTGACTCACTTTTCTTCTAGCACACAATTTACATCACTATTAGATAGTCACTCCCACAACATTCAAGATGCAAAATATGCATCAGATCATCATTGCTTGTGTCCTAGACAGGGATAGAGAGAAGAATAGAAGATGATTGAGAATACAACAGGGCAATCCTCATAGTGTATCGCTGGAGAGTACAGCAAATTGTTCACCCAAAAGTAGGTAAAGAAAAAGTAGTAAAAATCATGATAGAAAACAAATTTGATTAGTTATTAGTACTATGAGTGATAAAGAAGGTAAGAAAATGATTGTTATTGTGTCTTTCTGACTACTAGTAGCAGTACATACAAATCTGACTTTGATAAAAGCACTCCCCGCCCACTGGGCATTCTTCTTCTTTCTTATCAACAAGTAGTTTTGAAACATAGAAAAAACGATGTTACAAAATATTTTTGCTGCTCTTAGTATAATTAGTAGTACAGCCACTAAATCCACCCCACATAGAAAGAGCCATTGGGTACACATGCTCCAAAAGCATATCTCATAGTTGCAAGTTTGGTCCATATTTCCTTCACTTGCTTCTGTTCTCATCTTCTGTGTCCAATGGAGTTTTGTTTTACTTTGCATCCAACTGTACTGTTGGAGCCCTTGGTACTGGCTTAGAAGTATAGAGATAGACCATATTTTGCTAATTTCTGGCCATGCTCCTGTGCACTTTGGGTGAGAATTGTCTTCTGATGGTGCAAGGTGGTCCTCTTTTACTTAGTAGTTAGTGAAATGAGAATGCTAAGTAATAATACTATTGCAAACATCTCAACAATATATTCTAGTGGAATCCAGTGGTTCCCGTCATTAATTTAATGATCCCATCCGTATTTGTAGTTTGGATATTATTTCAACAACAAATCTATTTGCTTATCATAATTTTAGGTGTTTTTGCGTTTGATGTCTAAAAGAGGGGGAGCGCTGTGAGGCGTTTTCCCTATGCGTCCTCTTCCGCCGTTTCAGCAGGCATTACGGTGTCAGCGCCGACCTCGTCTCCCTTTTCGGCATCCTTGGCGGAATCTTCGGCACCGGTGGCCTCCGGTTCGGCCGGAGTGCCCGTCTCTGGATCGTCATCGACGGCCGCATCTTCCCCAACCGAGCGCTTAGATCGKTTTCCGTTTCCGCGTCTGTGCCTCTTTTCCCACTTGGCGTGCCGTCCGCTACAGACAAAATGGAGGAGGCATGCAAACGATGCGATCCAAATAGCCGTGCTGACTGCCGCAACAGAGCCCCAAATGACTTCCGGGCAATCGTCCCAGTAATTGCTCTCAACAACATCATACTCAAATCTGTCATCTTCTTCCCCAAAATAGATCGCGTTAAAGTAGTCATCATCCCGGTAATCAACATACCATTCAAATGGGTAACACCATTCAGCTCTTCTCCAGACGATGAATATCCAGATCGAGGTAAACAGATTCATGAATGCGGCCAATGCAGTCACGATTATAGACGCCAGAAACCCGAATTTGTTTTGTCGACAGCACCAAATGATCTGAAGCACAATCATAGCTACACCGCTGATGATCAAGGTTACCCACCATATCCACGAGAACAGAACCGCTACAACGGCCAAGATCTGTGCYGATATAGGCCAGGGATCATCGTATGGTCTATGACATGCGTGCGCATTGTTGTTTCGTGGAATCGCAAGGGAACGAAACAAAAGAGAAGCGGGTGAGCGACAGAGGAACGAACAAAACATTTTACCACGGGTATGCAAAACCGATCCGATCCGATTCGAACCTGACCCASGATTAGACTCACAAACACATGCACCGCTGACCACCAGTTCCACCGCAGCACCTAGTCAAACCATCGTCGAAATTGTCATCCTCCTTTTCCTTTTCACCACAGCAGCTCATTTCAATTTTATTTCTTGTGATCAATAGATTTGCTACTCTATTCTGCGTCGACAAATGAGACAGGAGGGTAATCCGATGTCAAGATCAATTTGTCGTAATACACATTTAATTTTGTGTCGACAATCGACATACTTCTTCATTTTTCAAATTAAAATCTGTTTTTCGATATCAATGATCTTGAAGTCTCTGCGTTGAGAGCTTCGATCTCGCATAAAAACGGTTCCCATCGCGTTCAGTACGTTAGTTCGTACGAGTCAAACCCGTACGGAATAAAGTTCCTGGTACTATCAAACATCTTCGCCGGAAGTTGTCATGAGTCGCACGCACGCAAGGTCTCCAAAGTATGTGTTACGGAAGCATCGCTATCGAAGATGTATTTTAAAAAAAAAAGTATTTATGTAAAGTGTTGAAGTAAAGAACGTTCAGGAAGAGCGCGCCGGCACTTGCTGAGACCTGCCTGTACGAGATTGATTATGTTTGGCCCCCGAAGCAATAAGGGAAATACGGTGAATTGGGGGATGAGATCTCTATCCCTCTAACTGACGATACAACTTCGTACTTGTACCGAAGAACTGAAGAGGTGTTATGAAAAAACTTCGATTTCCAACCACCGAACAATCACCATGGCTGCCGCAGTCATCGTCCTCACTCCTCTCAAACCGTTTGAAATCAAGAGGGCGCGATTAAAAACACACTCTTTCCACACCACCTTTCCAGCATCGAAAATAGCAGATTTCATCAGAAGCAAACCATGGTGAAGCGCCAAAAGGAAAAGCAATATCTCTCGGCGAGGGAACAACGAGAGCAGGGACGATCGCGATCGAATCTCAGTGCATCTTCCGCCGCCTCTACAGGAGTTGTGCAAAAGTCTCTCCCCTTCAAGTGCTGTGCCCTGACGCTGGTCCCTTTTGAAACCCCCGTTTGCACGATTGTGGATGGTACCAGCACCAATAGCGACGGGAGCAGCAACAAACAAAACAACAAATACGGAATCGTCTTCGACAATACCTCGCTTATGGAATTTRTCTTGAAACACAAAAAGGATCCAGTCACGGGAAACCCCATGAATTCCTCAAAGATTATTAAGCTGAACATGGACCGAGATTCGGAAACGGGGGAGTGGCAGTGCCCGGTGTTGACGAAGGCCTTTTCGGACCACAACACCAAGATCGTGGCAGTGATTTCTCCCAGCGGGGGCAACGAGGCCACTGTCTACAGCTACGAGGCATACCACGAGCTCAACGCCAAACCTAAGAACTACGTGGATCTAACGACCGGGCTGAAGTTTTCGCCCAAAAAGGACGTGATACTGTTGAACGATCCATCAAACCTAACCTTCCAGAAGAATGTCCGGGACGTTTCGACCTTTTGGCATATACGAAACGCCCGATCCAAGAATTCCGGCAGAGGTGCCAGCGACAGCATTCGAAAGTCGGTCACAGCGACTCGCGTCATGGAACAGATCCAAAAAGCAAGAGTCGAGAAGGAGCGAAAGCAAGCCGAAGCCAAGGAGAAGGCGGCCGAGGAAGAGGCCGAGAGTGATGGATTTTCCTACGAGGTTCCGGGAGCAAACCTCCCGTTTCGGGTCCCGACCGAGGACGTCACGGGGGTCAAGTATTCGTCTGGGGAAGCCGCCGGGGGACTCACTAGCACAGCGGGGGGGACCGTTGGGTCAGAGGGTGATCTGCGGACGGCGACGCCAGACGAAATCCTGGAATCTCGTTGCAGGGTCATGGCCTCGAAGGCCAACAAGGGGAAAAAGGGATATGTTCGTCTGATAGTTCAAATCCAGAGGCGGCAGGCGACGTCACTATCATCGTCATCCAGGGCAGAGAGTACATCCGTTGTAATTCCATTGTTGCTTGAATTGCACTGCGATATGGTACCGAGAACCTGTTCCAACTTTTTGGGACTGTGTCGGAAACAGAGATACAACGGGGCCGTCTTCCACCGGTGGATTGCAGATTTCATGATCCAGGGAGGTGGAGAAAAGGGGAAGCAAGAGATTGGGAAGAACATAGACGATGYAAATGGTATAAWACCCAAAAGTAATGGCAGTGACAGTAGAGATGTGTGCTTGTGGGGCCCGGAGGGATTCAAGGACGAGTTCGACGACCGTCTGACACACACAGGTGAGGGAGTTTTGGCAATGGCGAATGCCGGGCCCCACACCAACAAACAACAATTCTACATTACACTTGGGAAAAATAGGCCATGCCCTCACCTAGATCGGAAGCATTCGGTATTTGGAGCAGTTGTCAAGGGATTGGAGGACTTTTCGAGAGCCCTGGCCGAGAACGTCCAAACCGATGCCAAAGACCGGCCGTACGTGGAACGCACGGACCTCCGAACGGGCGAGACTAGTCGAATTAGTGCGGCAGTGGTGATTCTGGCGACAGAGGTCCTGGAGGATCCTTCCAAGAAAGCTCAAGAAGAGGAGGACCTACGATTGACGGGGCTGCACGAAGCCCGGAAAGCTTTGGACCAAAAGCGAAAACGGATGATTGGCGGAAGCAGTACTAGCAACCATAGTAGCGGCGACAAGAAATCATCGAAGAAAAAACGCACCAAAGGTGACACGATGGGAGTCGGGAAATACCTGAAAATATTCCAGGACAAGGGAGGGAATACCGAAGACGGAGCATTCTCTAAAACCGACAATCGGCATGCGATAGGGATTGATTTGGCACCAAAAGGAAGTACGGATCTATCAGTCCTGTCAGATATTCCAGCTCTTGGAGAGATGGTTGCACCCGCTAAAAAGAAAAATGCAAAGTTCGGAGATTTCAGCTCTTGGTGAATGAGATGCCTGATCTACTGCTGCTTAATTTTGACATAGTATTGGAATTTTCAAGCCCTGAGTTGTGGCACTAGATGACCAGGAGAATTGAAGCTTCTTGCGGCACCATTTTTGATATTTTTGCACTTCCAAGTTATGTGACGTACGATTAATTGCACTTAGCCTAAGCGAGTCCGCTCTGTTCAATCTTCTTCTTGTACGGTGCATGAGACTTACTTCCGTACTACTTCTAGCATCACATGAAATGGCGGGAGAAAAAGATGTTGCCACCGGGGGTCAATTATGAACCTAGATACCAGTACGTACGTACGTACATACGTACGAATACTGCTGTGATTACTGTAATGAGTAATGAAGAATACGGAACTTCATACCAGCGATGACTGTACAATACGTKGTGWGCCTAAATCACGAGTAGATAGATAGTGAATAAGCTCACTCTTTATTGTAAGCACGTAGTTACATATATTTCGCATACGTGTCTTCGACTGTTATTTAGCTCTGTGCATCAAAAAGAAGAACTTAAGAAGATGTTACTTAAAGCATTGATTAAGTTCATAACGATAAGTGATATCTTTTCTATCGTGGGGAATAATTAGTGGTCTCTTCTTCATAATGTGAAAGTGATTTGAATAAAATCCATGAAATATGTTTTTTCTTTCCTTTCATTGCACACGTATTGTAGTTATTTGAGATTTTTGTGCATTTTTGTTCATTGTTGATAGTAGAAGGATAGTAGAATACATCAAGACAAAATATGAAATATGAAAAAAAAGTAATACTAATAGTCTTCTTCTTACTCGCTAGCATGCCTCATCTCACATTCTGCTCCTCTTCGCCTCTGAACGAAGTCAAAATAAAAAATTATGAACTTGGATTTTCGCAACATCCGAGCTGCATTTGTAGTAGAGGGCACAAGGGGGGACATTCAACCATATTTAGCTCTGGCTCTACGGATGAAAACTCGGGGTTACAAAGTAAAGATATTTACCAATTCCGATCATGTGTCACTTTGTAGGACCTTTAACGTGCCAGCTGACGGTAGCTTCTATAGCATGAAGGAAGTCATGGCAGATCACGAATTTCGTTCTGACTTTGCCAGTGGGAATCCGTTCAAGATTGCCGCATGCTTGAACAAGTTTCGACAGGAGCATTTTCCAGAAGACTTGAGAGCACTTTGGCCCAGCCTGGAATCCTTTAACCCAACAGTAGTCCTCGCTGGAGGCATTTCAACACCAAAGGGTTTGCTCTACTCGTTCGATAAGACGATACCATACATAAGTGTGGATTTACAAGTTGTTCTCCCATTGTCAGACAAGGCTCCCGTCGGATTGCCAAAACTTCCATTTGGGACAAACAAACTCTGGGTCTCACTGCTGCTGCAAAAGGCTACATCGGCAATGGCGGCGAGAAAGAAGATTATAAAAGAGGTGCTCGATATTGATATGGATGGAAAATACGAGAAACCTGCACATTACACCCTCTTCACAGATATTCCATCTTTTCCTTCTCCCCATTTTTATGGTGTAAGTACGACTGTCATCACAGAACATCCGGAGTGGCCGAAAGAAAACTTCTACCCTTGCGGATTTTTCACTATAGGCGAACAACGACAAGAGCAACTGATGAAGGACGAGTCTAAGGGATATGAGTTTGGCTCGGAAACCTGCAACGAGCTGACAGAATTTCTAGCTGCGGGATCACCGCCTGTTTATCTTGGTTGGGGAAGCATCATGTGCAACAGTCCACAGTGGATGGTTTCCCTAGCTCTTGAAGCGTTGCAGCATGTGGGAGCACGAGGCGTGCTCTTGGGTGGCTGGGCTGGGCTGAGCGAAGCCTACATTCCTGATCATCTGAAAAACTTCTGCAAGAAAAATGTGATCTTTGTATCTTCTGCACCACACGAGTGGCTCTTTCCCCAGTGTTCTTGTATCGTACACCACGGTGGAGCCGGAACTACTGCTGCTTCAATCAGATCAGGCCGGCCAACTGTGATAACACCGGTGATGGGAGATCAGTTTGATTTTGCTGCGGGAGTAAACGAAGTCGGGTGCGGTATCGGTTTGCGAAAAATGTCGTCAGTCAGAGGGAACACTCTTGGAGACGCAATTAAGCGATGTCTGGAGGAAGAGAGCATTATCGCACGAGCAAAAGAGACAGGTGAGAAGCTGAGAAACGAAGACGGCTGTGAAACATTTTGTAACGTCTTCGAGGAGTGGCTAGTGCACGGATTTGCATCCGGAGAATGGCTTAGGAAGCACGAGAATTTGATGAAGAAGTGTAAAGAATCTTGGGAAGCCGAACAGAGGTGGAGTTTCTGTTTCTGCCGATAATTGGTTCTTTTGGCACGAGAGAYATAAATAGTGACCGTTGTAAATTATGATGTATTTTAAGAAATAGTTTTCAAAGTGTTTTGTGTCTTCTTTTAAAAGTCTACCTTCTAAAGTCTACCTTCTTACGTGTTGCAAAGAACAACAAACTCCATACTGYATACATTGTCAAAATATCCATACAGTATCCAATCTCCTGTAAAAAGGTGAACTAATGGCAAGGCAGCGGATATGACTAGGGTCGACACTACAACTTGTGGCAGATTCTTCGACATCCACTTGAAAATGTTCCAATTTCCGATGCAATATTCGAGGATAATTAGAATTCCATTCCAGCCAAAAAAAAGCATTTGCTTCCATCGAAATCGATAAGGGGTAATATTGCCATTGTTGCGGTCTAGGAACATGATATAATTCACGTATTCGTGAAGGATTCCCGAAACGACGAATGTCGCGAAAACACCTGCTACTCGAGAGGATGTTTGCTTTCGTGTTGGTTTGTATACTCCATTTTTCAGTCCTTTATGAACCATCATATTCCAACGTCGTCCCCAGAAATCGGAAGGCGACTTCGATTTTAACATTGGGTTCAATACCATTTCATGGGTTTCAACCCTATAGAAAATGTTGTAGACTGCGGCCACCGCGATGGAACCTTKAGACACAGTGGTGCTGATCAAAACTGGATCGCGCATAGCTTTTATGAGCTCGTGTTATGAAAAGCGATCAGGACAGGATTGGATCCGCGATACACATTTTACTCACATGCGACAAGATAGTTATTCAACAAGTGTTTCCAACAAAATAAATCGTTTAGATCGTGGTCCATAGAATGAACCTCGCGACCAGTATCGAAGACTTCAAAATTGTACGGCTTCAACACGGAGAGTATCAAACAAGCGAGCGCAATATCACGAGCAAGCGTCATGAGAGTCTTCCCTATGGATTGTAGCGATGCATATTGTGGTTTGCCACAAACAGGATTAAATCTGACGATTTGTGTACAAGAGAAATAAATGATGTAATTCCACAGACTCAGTCGCTCGGGAACCGGTGTAAACCCGAAGGCGGCTACAAATATATAGTTGAAAACACCGAATATAAGCAGCCAACAATGTGAGGATATTGTCGCTCCAGTTCGTTCGTGGATGCTTCATCGTTGCAGTCGGAGGCGACCACAAAACTTACCTTCTGCGATTCGCAGTGAATTCACTATTGGTGTCGCCAGCAATACCATTATCAAACACATGTTTTTTACGCCCAGAGTTCTCGAAAGATAAATCGGTTCCATGACTACGCACGGAAGAGCGAGTCCAAAAGCAAACAAAATTGCCCTCCCTGACGCCAAAGGATCGTCTGAGCCTGATTTTTGGATTCGTTGCTTCGGCTCGACCACAACCTTGAACAAAAACAAGCCTAGAACAGCATTGAATATGGTTTGCAATAGAACAATCTGTCTTATCAATGATAGTGGAAAAGATCAAAGGTATTTTAGAATGAATCCTTTCACAAGATAAAACAAAGATGCCACAAAAATGATTTGTTAATGACTTTCCCTTACAACGACGAGCTGGATATATGATAAATAATGTGGAGGGAYGAGGCCACAGACTGCAGCTTCTTTGCCATCATCTAGATCTCCGTAACCAAAAATACTGGAAAACAATGGTATCTCGACTGTGAAAAGTGCATTATCTTCGATGCTTCGATCTTCGTCGACGAAGTTCTTGTGAAACACGGTGTGCTGCAACAATTCGATGAGATAGTTCATCGCAAAAAGTGTAGTTCCGTTGCTCAAAATCAAAGACAGCGTCGACCCGGATCACAACAAAATAGTTTTCGTTACCCCATTCTCTCCAGAGGTGATGGCTAGTTCTTTCTCTCTCTTTCGAAGAACATCAATTATTGAATATTCCGCTATCATCGTCCTGAGATGAGTTTTAAAAGATGTACTTGTACTCTTCAGTGCCAAAATTACTACGAGTTTCGTAACAATTGAAACCGGACTCTACGCGTGTCTCAAGACTCTCCTGGATTCCCGTGAAGAAAGGACAGACCACAGTGAATTTACGACCATTAGTTAAAGTCGTGTCACCAGCTTCATCAGTGAAAAGCAATGGGCCCGTGAAAGAGCTCACTAATGCATCAACAGCATAAGGAAGCTCCCCAGCAAATTCCCTCTCYCATTGCTCAATATTGCTCCAGTTTGGTAGGACCAAACCTAAGCAATACTAATACTTTTTCTAATTCTCTCATGAGCAATCCCCTCGACGACCTCATTGCGGCCTCGGCCCCAYGTGATGTCCCCTCTGTCGTGGACCCCGGCCCGGGGTTCCCCGCCGGAGCCTCTTTCTATGATGGTGAGTCTATTTCCCTTCCGGTTACGGGGGGGGGAGTGTTCTGTATTTTCTATAACTGTAATTGAAAGACCGGAAGAAACATGTGGAGGCTTGCTGAAACATAATGAAACGGCATGCTTCAAGAACAAACGATCGTGTAGATCCAGTCATCGAGGAGATGGGAGAATAACTCTAGCGGAGGAAGCCGTTGTGGCGGTTGTCGCTAGAAACAAGGAAACAATATTCTGTGTCCCAATTTTGCCAGTATCCTTCATCGCTAGACCACTACTGGATCGATGGCTCCAAGAAAAAAGGACCAAGCTTGAGTGGAATAAACGCTTTGATATCGTTCGATTCCTACATCAAGACAAACCAGTAGACAAAGAAGCCTATTATAAACAGCTTGATGCTCAAGCCGTAGCCAAACGGGTCTTAAAAACACCTGGCAAAGTCAAGGCAAAGCTGTTTGTTGGAGACAATTGCGAAGAAGAAGAGATCCACTTCRRACCGTTCATTAAGCCCGAGAAGGGAGCCTCATCCGAAGATCCCRAGAGTAGATTAAATAAGATTGAATCATTCTTGATCCAGGAAACTGAAAACAATGAAGAGAGATGGTTAGCTTTAAAAGAAATACTGCAGGATAATGCAGTAACCAGCAAGTTTCACACCACTCAGATCAATTCRATAGACACTATGGTAGGCGTCCGCGACACTCGTTCCTTTCCCCAGGAATTTGACGGAACAGATCTTTGGTCAACTATCGGATCAATAGGGAGAAAAGTGCTGGAGGAAACAAGGCCCAATATAGACGCTCTAGCTAACCAAATCCAAKATCGATATCTAAGTGATTTAGACACCAAGTTCACTGCTACAGAGCAGTTCAACAAGTTTGTTAGCCATATGACCGGATGGTTCTCCACTTATCATGAAAACAAAATAGCAGTATGGAATAAGTTACACTTACTTGAATCAAGGACCAACCAAACACCCCAAGTCCAAGGTGTACACTCCTCTTTCATGCATCAASCAGCATCCTACAACGAAGCCAACAAGTCTCACGGTCCAACTCTTAAGGAACATCGTGAATTAAAAGACGAGGTCGATCGTTTAAAGGCATTGATCCTYAAAGTATCATTGGAAAAGGACCAGGTCTCGATTAGGTTTRGGGCTTTAGCATTCAACGGAGTCGATGATGCCAGAGCTTTTGTTGCAAATCAACCTGAAGCAAGGAACTTTGGACTGCTTATCGATCCCTACTCTGTGTGTTGTCATGTATTAAAGGAGACTAAAGGCCACAACAACTTCTTCAACAGACTTCAACATATCAAGAAGCTTGGGATTGGAACTAACCAAGAAGCCATCGTAATGCATGGATTCAACAGTCCCATTCCAGAACTCTTTGATGTAGYRAATGAATATCAGTCTTCTCCACATACTTCCTTGTTCAGCAAATTCCCCACATATAAAGACTGGTTTGATAAAGGAAAAGATCAAATACCAATGGGAATAACTAAAGTTAGGGCTCAATTGAACATTCACGCCGATAATTTCTTGAAGCAAGGAAGCAAGATACATACCATCTGTAAGCTGTCTATTGCTGAATCATGTGTGGCAATGGATCAGTTTTGCACATAGTTGAACAAGAGCCATACAAATCTGGTTACAGGAGAGTACATTAGATTCCTAGTACACAACACCAACTCATCAGAGGTATCTACCTTTCAAGCGGATATATCGGATCTCAAGGAAAAGATCAACAATAACAAAAAGTACTGGGACAAAGAGTTCAAAGCAGTTCAATCGTCAGCCGACAGTGCAAACAAGGCAATCACAGCTATGGGTCACAAACTTAMGGATCAGAACAAGAAGCTCAAAGACTGGGCATCTGGACAGTTTGCAAGCAAATGACGTTTGCGGGATATGCAATTAACACATATAAATCAGTCATCGTTATTGCCTCTATCCCCAAAAAGGTGTCTCGTTAATAGTGATGACTTGATTCACTCCTCCCCAGTGGAGGACGGTCGTCCCAATTCTTTAGTATTCAATCATGGTCATGTTGACGGAGGCCTACGCACTGAATCCATCGTAACTAGCGGGTGTGTCTCAGGATCCACTGGTTTCAGCTGGCTCCTAACTCTTAGACCAGCACAATGGTMRGTCATGATAGTTATGTGTGACATACCGACAAGATTCAAAAAGAGTATCAATGAGACTTGGGGAAACCGTCTGGAATATTCCAGACAAACGGTATCTAAGAACAGAGCGGCATTTCACYTGTCTGCGGGAGACGGATCAGAATTGAAACAATGGCTCTTAGACACAGCAGTCAAGCCGCGAATCTTCTGCTTGCATAAAAGGGGTCGTCAAATCAAGGTTGATCACAGTAAAGTGCAGTCAATGCTTATTCACCACGYGGACGTGGGAGGTGTAACGGATGCCAAAACAAAGTTTTACCTTAGCAACTGCCCCACAATATGTGTTCCTAAGACAGTTCGTCGCACCATCGGATCCGTCTTGGATCACAAACAATATATTTCCTTTGCAACGAAACCACAACACTTCATTACCACGACAGACCTTCTCCCATGCAATAATCTGGACACGTTGATAGAAATTCCCACTYGGTTTAGCCCCACAGGAACATCATACCGCACATTGAAACCTCGAGAAATTACCTGTATTAAGCTGCAAATGATTCCACTATGAGTTGGCATAAATGCAACACTTGTGCCCGGCTTACAGCCCCTCTGGGAGGGTTAACACCACCCCCCCGTAGCAGACTATTGGGAATTAGCTACTCCCAAAGCCTGATTTCTGATGAGCTAAAAATAGCAAGTATCAGCCCAAAACCAAAGTCTACTTAGCTGAAAACTAACTATTTGACCACTGTGACTAAGGGAGCTAAATACCACGTGGCAACCTGCCTGAAACACTATCCAGCCAGAGAGCAATAAGTAATAATTTCAACAAGTTCTAAACTTTGATTTATTTAGGCTCATAGATACCAAAGTGACGTCTGTGATGTAATCCCAATATGGAAATCACGAGTAGCTAGTGAATAATTATTGTTCAGGATCCTGGTAGGAAATTCTAAATTCTAGATTCTATAGTAACTGCTCTAAAGGGCAGTACCTGGTACAGTACGGTACGCTACGCACTTTCGCACCACTTCATGAGCCGTCTGTCATTTTCTATCTATCACGCACGTATTCGTACATACATGTACTATTTATCTTATGTACTACACTAACCACCACTTCTAACGAKGTACTTCTRCTATGACACACTAAGTGGACCGGAGGAAGTACTAGTAGGTCCGTCGATCAAAATCGCAAAAAAGTTCTGCCATGCACGTTCGAATCCTTACTGCACGATAGCAACCAATTGAAGTGGTTCTCTTCGACAAGGTTACTCGAAGGAATACCGGTCTTCGCCAATCCATGCTGCATTCGGCCCTATGGCCCGATTCTCGGTGGCACCGTGTCTGCTGCCGTCGCACCCGCCCCAGCACGTAACCGGTGGGTTCACGCCCGACACCACCAGCGAATCCAGCTCGACATTCAGGCACAACCAATCGGCCGTTCCCCCCCGGACGCTAATGTTTTTCAGCGAAAGGTGCTCCAGGCAGTCCTCCGGGAGCCCTTTGATCTGTCCCGCGACCCCCGCCGATGCTACCACAATGTCCTCGAAGGTCACGTTCCGAAACAGGGGCTTTCCAGACCGATGGGCAGGCGGTGTGTTGTTGTCGTAGGTCAATCCCAGCAGGAGGGCCGAGCCGGCCTCCTCCGGATACATCCAGGGCGTGGGCCCGAGCTTTCCCATCTCGATCCGCCGGATCGTAATGTTTTCCATCGGTCCGGGGTAGTATCTGTGGCTCTTGAATTTGATGGCCCACGGACTAGTGACCTGCGGCAGGATTCGTATAGATCAGCAGAAAGTAGACAATGGTCAGCCAGGGCTCCTCGAGTGCAAAAAGTAGGATGGTAAAAACATAGTCGAGACGATTTTATGGCTCTGCTGTATTGACTTACCGCATCGGGATCGCCAATGGTGCTGTCTTCGAACAGTATATCATAGATCCCTCCATAGGTTGCCGATCCGATGCACCAGTTTCTACTCACGATCCGCAAGTTACGCATAGTGACGTTTCGTGTTTGGGCCATCAGGCGCGTATGGTTCGTGCTCTGCACCGCCGGAAGCAGCAGCAACCAAGAAAGAAATGGTGTCAGTGGGTTGTTTTCGTTGCGATGCGTCACACGGGACCCATTCAATACAACCGTACGGAAGCAACTCACCTTGATTGAAACCCCGTCGTCTCCCACGTCGATGTAGCACGAGTCCATCAGGACATTCTCGCACGAATCGGGATCCAATCCGTCCGTGTTACCGATCTCTCTTGGTGCCAGCACCGTGAGGTTGGTCATGGCAATGTTCTTGGACAGAAACGGATGGATGAACCACACCGGGGAGTTCCTTGCCGTGAATCGGTCAAGGATAATGTTCGTAGAATTGTCAAACTCGATGAGCTTTGGCCGAAACAGATGGCTGGGGATTGTTTCGTTGTCCGGATTGAATTCGTTGCAGTAATCTTGTGGAATCGGCATCGATCTTTTTGGTTCGCATCACAACATAGAGCAGATACGACAGAAGTGAGTGTTGTAGGCAGCGTGAACCATTCCTTCACTAGTGCCCGCYTCGCCTTTTCTGCTTTCGCGAATCGCAATCGCAGCGCGCAGAACGCAGAACGCCACCAAATGCATTGCGCACATACCTCGCTTTGCACCACCATTTCCATCCCATTCCGTCGATCACGGACAGCGAAGAGTCGTCGGCATCGTCGTGGCCGTTGTAGCGGTCGCGGCGAGGGCCGCCCGTGACACCGCCGGCACCACTCGGACCGGTGGCCGCGGCAACGTTTCCCGACTCGAACCCCGCAAAGAGCCCCGGGGCATAGCCATCGTTCTCGCCGGTAATGGCCACGTTGGAGAGATCGGTTCCGCTCAGAAGTGCCCTAAACATGGAAGACACGCCGGTCACGTATCCGTTGGGGATCATCGGGACGAGGGGGTAGTCGCTCGGATCGTCCGACCCGTAGATCGACGCACCCCTCCCGAGGTGGAAGCGCTGGTTGGAGCGCAGCTCCAGCGAACCCGTCCGAAAGACACCCCTCGGAACATAGACGACCGAGACCTCGGTGGGCCCCGGCTTGTAGGGCTTCCGTTCGAACGTACCGACTGGAATTCCGGAATCGAGACCACACGTTTCGTGGCATTCGTCGATCGCCGACTGTATGGAGAGCGTGTTAAGGGTCGAATTGTCCCCCACGGCCTGTCTCGCAATGGCCACAAGAACGAAAAACAAAAAAAGAGGGGAGCTGAGTCCAATGGATTCCGGTGTGAACGAAACTACAACGCACCCGGCTCTTTCCCACTACCACAAGACTTCCAACCACAAAAAATGCCTCGTCTCATCGCAACGCTGTCGACTCACGCCGTAGTCCGTGATGGAGCAGCAGCAGGCAGCATTGTCGGCACGGAGGGATTTCGGCGACGGGCACGCTCCGGACCAGAAGCGGATTTCCCTCGGGCGATGCGATTCGTGTCCGAATCCGACGCTTCGGTTGCCACCGCAGCCGAAGAACGGGCGCTTCGGGTCCAAGATCGCCACCGCCGCGAGGCAACACACCAAGCCACACGAGACCACGCCGGACCAAGGCCGCGCCGTGGCCGTGTCGCCTCTGGCGGGCTCGTTCGGGGTTTCGGTCTCTCGCACGGCACCCATGTCGCAATGCAGAAGGAGCTCTGAATCGAAACAAGAGGAYCTCTCGGTGGATCGGGATTTTAGTGGGAACCAAAGGGGAACTTTTGGTGTTGCAACAAAGGGAAGCAAAGAATACTTTCCAAAGGAAGCAAGGGGGTTTTGTTTTGCCTCCAGTGTTTCGCTCTTTTTCCTTGGTACTGTATGCTTCCGTAGTTCTTCAGATTTTCCACACAGAATCTTTCGTGTCATTGGGTGATTCCSGTTATTCTAGAAACTCTAGATTTGATAGACTGACAGACCAAAAATTTAGTGAATTTGACTCTAGATTTAGCACATTTAGAACCGGTCGAACTACCCCGTCCTAAATACTCTAAATTTAGAGTGGAATCCADGAATAAAAATTTCGAGTCCGTTGAAGGACTCTCAGAAGACTCAACGGAAAGGCCCGCCAAAATTAAGACTGATTTCAAGAAAATTAAGACTCCGTTGTTGTAAATAGTAAGAGCAACAAGCAACGAGAAGGCGCCTCCACYATTAACCATGGCGCCTCTTCATGGCGCCTCCTCTCTTAACAACAAGAATGGAAACAATGTCAACAATGTCCTCTCCGGCCGGTTTAGTTGCTATTTACTACTATTACCTCTCTCTGTTGTACCAAAGAGAGCAA